TTCCCTTTTCTGAGAGCCCCATAGCCTTTCCCCTTTTTCTACTTCCTGCTTTCCTTGTAGGGTTGTCAGCCTCCAGGTACGGCCTAGAGATCTCCTGGAATCACAACACATCTCCCAACTACAGAGATCAGTTCCCCCTTAGGGTTGCCAGCTCCAGGTTGGGAAATTCCTCGAGATCTGGGGATGGAGCCTTGAGAGGGCAAGGCTTGGGGAGGGAAGCAACCTCAGCAGGATGTAATGCCATAGAGTCTATTTTCTCCGGGGAATTGATCTCTGTCATCTGGAGAGAAGTTATAATTCTGGGTGATCACCAACCCCCACCTGGAGGTTGGCAACCCTAGTTCCCAGGAAAGAAATGGCTGCTTTGGAAGGTGAAATCAATGGCATTATACCCTTCTGAGGTCCCTCTCCTCCTCAACCCCCCCAGGCTCCACCCCCCAATTCTCTAGGAATTTCTTAACCTGGAGCTGGCAACCCTATCTCCTTCCTGCACATCAGGCAGCCTACCTTTATCTGCTCCTCTGTCTTAAGCTCTTAACCTGGAGATCTCCCAGAATTACAACTGAGCTCCAGATGACAGAGATCTGTCCCCCTGGAGAAAATGACTGCTTTGGAGAGTGGATTGTATGGTATGATATCTGACTGAGGCCTCTTCACTCTCCAAACCCTGCCCTCCAAAGACTCAACCACTAAATCTCCTGGCCCCAATAAGTCCTCCCTCAAAGGCCAAAATAGGCCTGGAAAGGTCTCTCTCTTTTACTGACAGACCATGGCTGGAATACTGTGGTTGCCTAGCGCCAGCCATTGAGGGAATCTGTTGCTTAAAGCTACAAATGCTCCTGTTATTGTTTTCAGGTTTTAAAATTCCCCCCAAAAATTTTTAATTTCACATTTTCCTGCAAACATGGGGCCCTTTTCAGGTTTGGAGAAAGATATCTCTTGCTCCTTCACAGCTCTAGTCACTGAATTTAGATATCCAATGATCTGGCTGACTTTGCTATTAGAATATATGATGATGATAACAATACAGAATGAGAATCATTAAGGCATTACTTAAGCTTTAAAGACTTTTGAGTATACTCAAAGACAGAAATTGCTTTTATTTGTCATAAAAGAAAAAAAGAGCTTGATTGAGATGATAAACTAAAAGAATGTATAACATGATAGAGGTAACAATTGTGTGGTTGGGTATTAACAGGATGGAAAAAGAACAGAAGTCTGTGTCTGCCTTTCTTTTCAGACCACAAGTGAAAGCCAGGCAGTCTTTTTTATTGCACTGGTACAAGTGTTTGCCTGTGTGAGCTGTGACTTGACTACTGCCTTGAGTGCCTACTTCCAGGCATTAACTCCAGAAATCATTGAAAAACTTCCAGCAAACCTCATAAGTGAATGGCAGGAGTTCTTTTCTGAAGGCATTCATAGTTTACTTTTACCTTTGATGGTAAAAATCACAAGTAAGTTTGTGGCAAAAGACAAGTGTGCTAACTGACATAGTATGGAATCCATGACACACTGTCTACAGTGCCAGGTCATTTATTTTAATAATATATATTTCTATCTGTTTAATTTAAATAAAACTGAAACTGCACAACTAGAGATGTAGTGCAAGCTATAGCCAATGCTTCTAGGGTAATGCATGATCCTAAATTAGAGATATTCTTTGCATGGTTTCAGCATCCTTTCATTCTGCCTATCCCTCCAGTTTTTCTCCTGTTGTTTTCAGTCCCTTCCCATTTCCCACTGGAAAACTCCTTACATAGAAGAAGAAGAGAAGAGATTGTATTTATACCCTGCCCTTCACTACCCAAGGGAGTCTCAGAGTGGCTTACAAACTCCTTTCCCTTCCCCTCCTCTCCCCACAACAGACACCCTGTGAGGTAGGTGGGGCTGAGAGAGCGCTGACAGAAACTGCTCTTTTTCAAGGACAGCTGTGCCAGAACTATGACTTGCCCAAGGTCATCCAGCCAGGTACAAGTGGGGAATCAAACCTGGTTCTCCCAGATTAGAGCCCACGCACTTAACCACTACACCAAACTTGCGCATTTGTAAGAATATCCCTCAGGAAGATTCTCTAAGTTTATGTTTATTCAGTGCTCATAGTGACATTAGTTGCAGTCTCAAACTCTTCTTTTTCACAGATCCTCACCACTTAGATAAAAGTTTATATCCAGGGATTGCAACTTTTAGTAAGGGGGCAGACAGTACCAAGACCATAATCCTTTTTAAAAATACACACACACACACACACACACACACACCCTTCTGTTAAGGCTGTGACCAGTGGTCTTGTAGGAAGACATTTACCACATATTCTGAATAGCCTTTGTATTTAACAGTTGCCACCACTGAATAATAAACTCAATATTTAAAGGTATGTGAAAAGTCAGGCCTTTTATCTCATAGTCAGAATCATAAGAACATAAGAGCCTTGCTGGCTCAGACCAGTGGTCCATCTAGTCCAGCATCCTGTTTTATGCAGTAGTCTACCAGTTACCCTAAGGGAGTTAACAAACAGGACATAGTGGCCAAGGCCTGATGCGGTAGTCTACCAGTTACCCTAAGGGGGTTAAACAGGACATAGTGGCCAAGGCCTGATGTTGCCTTCTTGGACTAATAGTCAGAGGTTTGTTAAGTGTGCAGACTCTAATCTCGGAGAACCGGGTTTGATTCCCCACTCCTCCACTTGCAGCTGCTGGATGACCTTGGGCAAGCCATAGTTCTGTCAGAGCTGTCCTTGAAAGGGCAGTTATTGAAAGAGCTCTCTCAGCCCCACCTACCTCACAGGGTGTCTTTTGTGGGGAGGGGAAGGGAAAGGAGCTTGTAAGCTGCTCTGAGACTCCAAGTGAAGGGCGGGGTATAAATCCAATCTCCTCCTCCTCCTCTGAATGTGGAGATTCCCTTTAGTCTAGCATTTGCAGTGGACATATCCTCAGTGAATCTAACTAATCTCCTTTTAAAGCCATCTGTGCTCATGGCCCTCACTTCATCCTCTGGTAGCAAATTCCACAATTTAATTGTTCGTTTAGTAAAGAAGTCCTTTCATTTATTCATCCTGAATCTATTGCCTATGAACTTCATAGGTGCCTCTTGAGTTCTAGTATTATGGCAAAGGGACAAACAGCTGCCTCTGTCCACTTTCCCCACCCCTTGTTGCCAGAATTACAACTCTCTAACCTTTCAACATAGGCTAAATGGATGAAATAGGATAAACATCCATCCATTTAATATCAGTTTGTTCCATCTGCTTTTCCACACTTTTAAACTCATTAAAATTATGAGCCAGTTAAAGTGTCTAATAATGATTTATCTTCTGCAGTCTGTTTATATGTTTATTAAAATATTTTTATCCCACTTTTCCTTTGGGCTGTTGAAAAAACATACAAGAACAGTATCACACGTTTTCGGTATTCGGCTGGTTTGGGAAATAATAGTGCTCTTTAATTTCTGTGATAAACTGCAAAACTTAATGAAAATTGTCTTTTATGTTCTTTGACCAGGAGACAAAAATATGTCAGAAACGTCATTTCAGAACTCTGTGTTGAAGCCCTTGGGTGAAGCTCTAATATTTGTCTCAAAGGATCAGTTACTGAACCACAAACTTCCTGCCAAATTTGTTGCTAGCCAGAAGACAAACCTTCCTGATAAAGTGCAGACCTTGTTAAATACACTATCTCCACTACTGCTGTTCAGAGCTAGACCTGTTCAAATCACGGTATACCACATGCTAAATAAGTAAGTTGGTTACTCCTCCATATATATAGTTTGATGTCTTTCTGTTTTCATTTTCACCTTATCAATAGAAAATTTGCCTAGGGGGGAAAAACAACTAGGCATCATCTTGCATTAATGAATGAGTCTTAATGTTCCACATGATGTACAAACAATAAATAGCGTCTTATGCACTAGCAGTGATCTTGGTTAATCATATAAATTAGGAGCCTGTTAAATCCTTACAGTCTTTAAGTGCCCCCCAACATCATCCTAAGACACAGGGATCAGCTGCTGCTTTTTCTGCCATAAATACATATAACTGGAAAGTCCTTGGAATAAGGGGCTCAGAAAGTGTTTCATCTGTTCTACTCTTCTGCAGAGGAATTGCAAACCATTGCTGTACCGTGGTGGGTTGCTCCACAAATTCGTTTCCTGAAGGCAGAGTAAATGAGTGAAAGGGGGAAACGATGAATCTTCTACTCCTTCTGCCTCTCCTCACCCAGTAGTGAGGTATTGCAGGTCTCCTTTTGCCATATACAGTGGCCAGTATATTAAACGTAATTACTGTTGGGGTGAGGATGGCAAGAGAAGCTCTGCATTACAGCGTGTTGCATTATGAAAGTCACCAGCTTAGGACAGAAGCCTTTCTCATCCACAAACAATTATGCAGTCTTATTGTAGCCTGTTTTATGTAGATGACTGTAATGTGTAACAGTGTGTTCACTTTAGTACTTAATTACCAGTGGTTAATAAAATCAGAATAAGATAAATTCCACGCTTTAAAAATATGGACTGATTCTTTTTTCTTTTTTTCAATTTCCAGGTTAATGTCTGATTTGCCTGAATTTGACAATAAAGACCTCAAGTCCTATGGTGATGAAGAGGAAGAACTATCATTGTATGTTTCTTTGCTAATATCTGAGGTTGAAATTGACACACTTGCAATAGTATTTGAATATTAAAGGTTTATAAATCTAATGCAGATACTTTGTGTTCAAATTTCAAGGCTTTCTTTGCTCCTACACCATTTTTCCTAAACATGAGTTTCAGTCAGATGGAGACCTTCCAAAACCCTCAAAACAAAACGTAATTTATTAGCTCTACCTGCATAAATTAATGTGGCTCCTCTGGTATAACACCATATTTTTCAGGCTTTGAAACAAGGGGTAGAAAATCAGTTATTGCTAGGTACTTTCACAGCTAAATGTGTACAGACCTGACAGACCTGCAAAAAGACTTGTAACTAAGGAAGGAAGCTACAGTTAAAAGGGACTGGCAGTCTGTGTTGTGGGTTGCTAGTTAGTGTTTAATCATGATTCTCAGCACAAATTAGGGAGGAGAAAGAGGCACACATGTGATTTCAGCAACAGTCTGGGTTTGTGCACATTTTATTTTAGTTGTATTTGGTTTGTATTTAGTTGTATACCTGAAGGCTGCCTGATTTTTTTAATGTTCTGAACAGGAAAACCCATCTGACAGTAAAATCAACAGTTTTCTTTCTCCTTTTCATTTTAGGTCTCCCCCAGCAGCTCTTATGACTATTCTTGCCACTCAAGAAGATTTACTAGAAAATGTCCTAGAATGCATTCCAGTTGGAGAGTTTGCAGTTGTTCAGCCATTGAGTGAGGAGTTTTGCCTTGTTTTAGGGTATCTGCTCACATGGAAATTAATATTAACTTTTTTCAAGGCAGCATCTTCTCAGGTAAGTGTAACCCAGTGTGTAAATTGTACTTTCACAGATCTGTACATGAGATGTTCTGTGGCAGTTGGAATAAATGGCATTTAATTGTACAAAACAATATAGAGATCTCATTTCTGACTATAGGAAGGAAAGATTTGGAAGTGCATAAGGTGCTTCTTATACCTGGTAACATACCTGGCTCTTACATATGTGAGCAATCTGACTTTTACCAAGGGAACTATATTGCTGTGTTTATAGATAAATGGTATGCTGAATGTTAATTAACGGTATGCTGAATGACCCACAGACATACAGCTTTTAGTGCACTTTGTATTGTTTGGCATATAGTTTAGCTAGACAGGATTATTTCATCTTCTCTGAATGACTGCATGTTGGATTTTGATCTACTTGTCTATAAACTGTAGGCACAATTTCAGGTATTTAAAAAGTTGTGGAAGAATAGGACTATAAAGCTCCAGTTTTTCTCCATGCATCAGTAACATATTATTTATCCAACAGGGTATATGCTGTAGTAGCACACACACACCCCCAAATGGAAATTAGGGTGGCCTAGCATTCTGTTGCGTGAACCTTTTGTTCAATGTGGTTCTTGTTCATGGTCCTTTTCTTTGTTCCCTTCTATAGTGACCCACAAACATACAGATTTTGTTGGACTTTGTAGTGTATGGCATATAATTTAGCTAGATAGGATAATTTAATCTTCTCTGAATGACTGCATGTTGGATTGTGATCTGCTTTTTAAACAGCTTGAGCAATGATACCATCAGTGTACTTAAGAGTATGTGTTAAAACTTGATAGGGGAATATTATTATCTAATCTGCTTTGAATTCTACTACAACTTTTGTCTTGTTGGATACATTCTTTTGTCTGTCTGTTTTTGAGAACACGTTTCATTGGGAATCATTTTAATATATTTTTTCTTCACTGTCAGTTACGAGCTCTTTATTCACAATACCTTCGAAGAACTAAGAGTTTGAATAAACTACTGTATCACCTGTTCAGGCTTATGCCAGAAAACCCAGCTTTTCCAGGATCAACAGCTGAATTTCCTAATAAGGACACAAAAACATATTTTACTGAAGAGCTTACTTTAGATGTTAAAGGTCAGTCAAAATGGTTTGAAGCTTTTTAATTGTTAAGGTTAAACATACTTTAAAGTGAAACAAAATGATCCCATGCAAGAGTCTCGAGTCCCGTTTTAGACAATGAGACTTACTCCCAGGGGAGTGTTCCTAGGAGAGCAACCTGAAAGACCCTTTATTTCTAATTTTGAATCATAAGTGAGCTATTGCTAGAAAACACCTGGAATTAGACATTTCCTTCAGCACAGTCACTGCAAATATTATATTGTCATTGTTCTGTCATGATATAAATCATGCAAGGGGGAAAAACCCTCCTAACACTGTTTTGGAGTTTAGTTCTCAGACTGTTAAAAGTTAATTCTACATTTGTCATTTGTTGTAATAGTTACACTGCATGTTTTGTCTTGAGTTTCCCAAGTCAAGCTCTTGGGTTATGTCTGTCATCATATATTCTCATTATATAACTGGTGCATTCTGCCTCTCATATCAAGCCGTTTTCAAATGAGCACTCCATTTACAGGCGTGTTTGGCAAAGTCACTACCTCCTGAGCTGCCAGATTCTCTGCCGTGTTGCTCATGAACTTTAGCACATGGAACTGTGAATACGAGTCCTTGAGAGTAAGCACTGCAGCCTTCTGGTTTAACCAGGCAGATGGCTCATCTTTGCACAAGCAGGTTTATTAATGACTAAGAACCATAGCCCACCAGTTGAGACAGCAGCATGTGGGTAACTCCTGTGTTGTGCATGTGTGGATTGTAAGCATGTACAGTACAGCATGTTCAGAGACTACGAGTGATAGCTTTACTGTCCCAGAAAGAAAACTGTCAACTGTCCATTGTTTATTTTGACTTGCGTTTCTACTAAGCAACTAATTTTCCTTTAGCGCTGGGAAGGTGAGGAGCAAAGAAAATTAGTCACTGTGGAGTAGGCAGGGGAGTTGTCAGAATTCTCAACAGGCAAAGCCTTGTCTGCTCTCCCTTGGTGAGTCTATCATGTACCCCAGCATCAAGTTACAGATTTTATCACATCATGAGAAGAAAGCAATTGAAATTGTGGGAGATCTGTGGAGGAGCTATAGTCTTAACTTCTCTTATTTTATAACCACTTTCCCAATGTGTTCTCCAGACATGTCAACACTGTCATCACAGATCCCACATCTGGCTTGCTCAGTTTACTGCATGACATTAAAAGATTTGCCAGCCATGGTTCGCCTTTGGTGGAATAGCTGTGAGAAACGAGTCTTCAGCATTGTAGATAAATTTACAAGCAAATATGTCAGTAACATCCTTTCATCACAAGAAATATCTTCGGTGCAGACCAGCACACAGTTGTTTAATGGCATGATGGTTAGTATAATCTTCACCAAGTCTGCATGCATTTATATATTTGTAAATTAAACTTCCCATCTTAAATGGGCTGAAGTCAGCATAGTCAGAGCAGGCAAAAAGTCTGGAAAGCTTTCAGACTCTTTCCTTCTTTTTAAAAAAACAAGTACAAGATGTGGCAAAAACAAGAACACCCCCGCTCCCAACTCAGTTGCCTTGGTTAAGAAATTATCTTTTGAACTCAACTGATCTGAATATTGTGATCAGTGGCACAATAAGCTCTCAGCTAGATGTAATGCACTCTGTGTAGGCCTGCCCTAGAAAACAACTCAGAAACTACAGCTCATTCAAAATTCAGCTGCATGCTTATTTAAGGGTGTTTGTCATATCATACACACACCTGTGTTAAAACATCTTGCTTCCGGGTCCAATTCATGGTGCTGGTGATTACTGATATAATCTGGGGGCCACATAAGTGAAGGACCACCTTTTCTGATTTAGATTTATAAGCTTTGTTAGCTCTGCCTATCAGCATTTGTTAACTGTGCCATTTCCTCTGGAAGTCCAGTAGTCCAAGAATAGGATTTTCTTGAAATTTGCCCCTCAAATTATGGAATAATTTACCCTGAAGCAATGTACTGGGCCTCTGCTGACATTTCATAAGGCCGGTAAAACCTATCTGTTTCAGAACGCTTTCTGTTATCAAAATAAAATATATTTTTACATGGATTTTTTTGGGGTATGTGTTAGTATACTATAGAAAACACTGGTTCTTTTATATTTGTTGAAACTAGATAGAATTTTAAACATTTTTGGAGCTTTAACAGATGTCTGTTTTAAAGTTTCTTGGTATTACCTGCCCTCTGATATTGGGATGGATAGGATGGAAATATTTTAAATATTTAAATAAATATATGACTATTATACAATATGCTTCAAGTCAACCCTAAAATATATAGATATTTGAAGTGGTACCAAAAGCCACCTCCTCAAAATCAGGTTTCTAAATGGTGTTTTCAGTTAGCACAAAGGTTGCCACAGGACACATATACTATCCTGAACAGTGATATTTGGAAGTGTCTTGTAATACCTGAAATAACACAGGTGAAGCAGAACTATTTCTAGGATAATTGTCTTTCTTGTGCTTAGTAATAGAAAGGAAAACAAAAAGTCAAAGCTTGCCAAAGAACTGATCCTGTACTACTTCTAAAAATGACAGTTATGTAAACAGAATGCTTTATTATTTGTTTGACCAATCAGGTGTCCACTTATGCTTCATATTTTAGCTAAAACTCTGTGTATAATGCTCTGCTGTGATGTACATTTAAAATCATTTGGCACTATAAAGATCTCTGGAAAGTGAGAAGTGTTCTATGCACTGAAGATTTCTGTTTTCCACAGGTAAAGGCTCGATCTGCTACTCGAGAAGTCATTGCTACATACTCAGTCGATGATATATTCATCGAGTTGATAATACAGCTTCCCCAAAATTACCCCCTGGGCTCCATCACTGTGGAGAGTGGAAAGAGAGTTGGTGTAGCTGTTCAACAGTGGCGCAACTGGATGCTACAGTTGAGCACATATCTCACTCATCAGGTATGTTTCTAATCAGAATCCTCTCAGTTTGGAGAACACTGTAGTAGTTCAGTCTTTGCTGTATAATATCAGAAACAACCCACATTATACCAGAGATTTGCTCAGAGCAGCAAACAGGTGCAGGAAAACCGTGCAAGCCCTGCTGTTTACCGTCTGACAGTGCCAGTTTGACTTGACCAGTATAACATTGTCCATCCAGAGGACACAGCTTTTTCTAAAAGACAGTGCTGCTTTGAAATTTCTTACAGCTAAGTTGTTACTTTATTTCTTTATGGAAACATTTATATCCCGCCTTTCCTCTTGGTTCAATCAAGGCAGCTTACAATAATAGTTAAAACATCTTACCACCATTTATATTTCCCCTGAAATATCTGTATAGATGAAGGGATCCAAGAAAAGCTGGGATACTGTGGGAAACAATATAACAATGTATTACTGACTACTATGAAGAATTTCCTTTCCTTTTCTTTTTTTAGAATGGAAGCATTATGGAAGGTTTAGCATTATGGAAAAACAACGTGGATAAGCGTTTTGAAGGTGTTGAAGACTGCATGATCTGTTTCTCTGTTATACATGGTTCTAACTACTCTCTTCCCAAAAAAGCCTGCAGAACATGCAAGAAAAAGTTCCATTCTGCCTGCCTTGTAAGTACCTGGAATAGACACACTTTTCATTTAAAACAACAGGAAGTGAAACAGAGCCAAGGATTCCCATGGGTAAATAACTGGAGTAGTTATACGTGCCACTCAGAGGCAAATATGTAGAAACTGCATCATTTTAGTGAAACTGAGAGAATGAATATTCCTTGACAAGGCAGCACCTATCTATCCCCTTAAATAGCTGATTAATATCAAGCATATTTGCTCCATGAGAATGACTGCTTTTAATTTTTTGTTTTACCTTTTCCAGTACAAGTGGTTTACATCTAGTAACAAGTCCACCTGTCCGCTTTGTCGAGAGACCTTCTTCTGAAATACATCTCTACTTCTGTGAATTTCTCAAACACCAAGCACACCTGGATTCAGTTATGAAATAAGCTAATTTTAGCCTTATTTAAAATAAAAATCTTGCATCGTTTGGTCATCATGATCCATGTCTACAGCATACAATTTCCATTAAATAGACTTATTTATTCTTCCCCACACTTACCTTTCAAGAAGAGTGAGATAAGGAGTTTGAAATCAAAGGGAGATTTGATTCCCATGTTTCTCCCCCCCACCACCACCAAGTGGTTAGAACATCCAACCCTTAAGCCTAGGGCCTTCTGTCTACCTCACACTTTCAATCAGGGGAGGGAGGGGGGGTTGACTGCACAGTCTCTGTTGATCCCAGATGAGAACGGGCTCCCAAACTTTCTAACACCAAAATTTGCCATCTCATGTGTAAATCAAAGAAACTAGTGATGTCTCTAAAGGTAAGCCAATAAACCCACTGAAAGGTTACAACGGTGGTCCCCAGTGTGATTCCTATGAGCATCATGGTGCCCACCAATTTGGTTCCTAGTGCCCATTTGCTTCTTTCTCCAAGAAAAAAAACAAACCCCGCCAATCCTATTAGTTTTTCTGCATTTCTGGAGTATGAGATATATCAGAAGAGTCCAGGAGCCATCGCCTTTCTTGCTGCAGGGAGCACCCGTTTGGAAACAACTACATTTATTGTAGGGGGATGTACGGCATGGAACTTCCCAGTATTTTATGTTTGGGTCTCAGCCCCCATGGCAGCTACTTTGCTGTGTACCCAACTGTCATTTCCTAAAATGACCACAGTTGCAATGAAGTTCCAAAATATTGGAAAAGTGCATGGAAGATGGCTGTAGCAACTGCTCACGATGCTACAAGATGAAGAGAGGCAAAAAGTAGTCTTATGGTAGCACTCTGCTGACAATCAGGATAGTAGAACAGTCCACATTGCATCACTGGTAATGGACTTCTCCGAGTTATATTTCTTGTAAAAGTTTGCAATAAAAAGGTACACACTTGCATACCATGGGGTCCAAACATAAATCCTGCAGTATAATATTTTCCTGCCTGCTCTCCACCTTCATTGTAATGACTTCTTTCCACAGTGGTGAATTTGCACTATTCAACAACTAACTAAGCAGATAAAATTAGCATCTTTCAACACCATGACAAACTACAAACAAATTCATGACAGCATAATTATACAAAAATATATTTTTTTAATTGTGATTTACCCCCCAGTATAATAGCATATGAAGTCTTCAGGATTTACAGAATCTCAGTACTGAGAGATTTTCACTTCCGGCTTGTCTACATACTGCTTTGGTGCCTTTTAAACCAGTTTTCTGTAACATTTCTATAATTTCATCTGCAATTAAACAATAAAAACTCAGTTTAAATTCAGCAGTCACCAGCCATATCCTATTAAATAATTATTTGCCATGTCTCGCCTCATGAGGAAATCTTTTCCCTTTTGCTTATTTGACAAAGTGCAAAAAACAAAGGAAAAAAGACTGAAGCTAGAAAAATAACAGGATAAGTGGTATACAGGACAAATTTAGAGTCCAGTGGCACCTTTAAGACCGACAAAGGTTTATTCAAGGTATGAGCTGTCATATGCTGCTTGGCATTTTTCAAATATACAGGACAGCTACACATAGGGAGGGGCCATAGCTCAGTGGCAAAGCATCTGCTTGGCATGCAGAATGTCCCAGGGTCAGTCCCTGACAACACCAGTTAAGGGGATCAGGTAGTAGATTATGTGGAAGAACCTGCCCTGAGAGTGTAGAGCCACTGCCATTCTGAGCAGACAAAATGACCTTGATTCAGTATAAGACAGCTTGATGTGTATATACTCCCTACGAGAGCTCCTTCAGTGCCCCAAGTGGACATGTCCAAGTTTTTTTTTCTTTTAACTCTGAAAGTGTGTGAACATGGATTTATAAAGGCGGATTACCAGGAACAAACCGACTTTACAAATGCTGTTAACTGCACTGTCACTTCTGGCTGTCTCTATTTCTGCTTTACCATTATTACCTGCTTAACAAAGATGTAGAAATTCTGTTCTGGAAGGCACCCTTTGGCCATTTTACACCTTTTGATACATGCTTAATAAGATTTTATGTTCCTTACAAGGCCATCTATTGATAGTATGAGTTCAATGGCAATAGTTCCACCTTGAAGGGCATATGTAGCTCAGATTAGGTATTAGAAAAAGTAGTTGCACCCAATTCAGTATAAAATCATCCCCAAGACACATTCACAAAGATTTCGCAAGCAGTATTTTCAGACAAGTGAATTATTAACATGACAAGACTAAGCTTTCAGTGAACTAAAGAATTTAAAATAAACAATACCTGGATTATTTTCTTTAACTGTAACTAGGTAAAATAAACCTCTTGTTGAAAGCAAGTCTGACACAACTGGAAAGAGCCTATCCATAACTTCTCTGCCATTTTTACCTCCAGCCCAGGCTGCTGCTATTCCATGGCTTTTCACCTAGAATAAATGAAAAAAGAAAATTGCAGTCAGATCACACAATATTTCCAGGAACAACTCAAGGTTCAGGTGTTGACCTTTAAAGCACTATACATTTTGGGACCAGCGCACCTGAACAACCATCTACTTCCTTAGGAACCTACCCAACCTCTATGGTCATTGTCCAAGGCCCTGCTAAAGGTCCCCTGCCTTCTGAGATTAGGCAGGTAGCAACCCAAGAGAGGGGTTCATTGGTTGTGACACAAAAACTCTGAAACTCACCTGTCCCCTTCTGTTGCCATCTTCCACCAGTAGGTGAAGACTTTTTTGTTTCATATGGCATACCCTCAAGTAATCCCTTTTTCCTGCTGTTTTAAATATTTTTGTATGTGTATTTTAGCTTGGTTTTAGTTGTTTTAGTGATGTGTTTTTGTTTGGTTAATTGTTTTTAAGACATGTTTTCATGGTGTATGTTTTTAATCTGTTAGATGTCTTGAATGGCCCTGATGAAGCCAGAAAGTCAGGGTATAAATTTTGCAAATAAATAAAACAAACTTACATCGTAGGATAAATAACATGATTGCTACATTTACTGAAACCAAGCATCACCTCACTTCAGTAGCTGTTATTAAACTCCAATGAACATTTTGGAGAACTTAAATAATGAATCTCAACATTTATTTTCAAGGATTACTGATGAGCCTTAGCAAACTGCAAGCCTAAGCACATTTACTAAATAGTGGGTTGGATGCAGCAGTAATTTCTACTGGCAAAATGGAGTTCTGTATGTGGAATGAGACTTCCTTGCTTTCCTGTTCCTGGTGGATAGGGGACCCTATGGAACAGCATGTGGGTTAAACTGGGTTGGGGGGATCCTGCAATAGGAGGAAAAGAGTTGGGGGGGGGAATCACACACAGCAACACACATAATTCATTAGTGGAAATTTACTACTAGATCCTCCCCAACAGGTCCTACATGCCACCAGCTACTACAGGGATCCTCCTTAATTAGCAGCACACTTATTCGAGAGCAAGCCCCATAGATCGGAGGACTGTACTTCTGAGCAAGCATGCTTTAGGATAAGGATGCAGGTGTCAGAAAACACATTCTTAACTAATATTAAGAATAAGAATTCCTCACAAATTACCTTATTAAATATAAAAATAGGTATGAGACTGAAGGTGAATTGGTAAATATTAAAACCTCCATAGACCTTCACCAACATTTTCAGATAACGCAGCAGAAATGGATAAACTAACTTTACAATTACATGAAAAACAAGAAGAGGAGATTGGATTTATACCCCGCCCTTCACTACCCAAAGGAGTCTCAGAGTGGCTTACAAACTCCTTTCCCTTCCCCTCCCCACAACAGACACCCTGTGAGGTAGGTGGGGCTGAGATAGCTCTTGACAGAAACTGCTCTTTTTCAAGAACAGCTCTTATCAGAACTACGGCTTGCCCAAGGTCATCCAGCCAGGTGCAAGTGGAGGAGTGGGGAATCAAACCCAGTTCTCCCAGATTAGAGTCCGCGCACTTAACCACTACACCAAACTGGCTCTCAAAGGAAACTTTGAAATAAAATGGGTGAGACTATCATAGAATCCAAATAAATAAATAAATCTGCCAGATAAATGTTCCAAGCCCAGCGGAGTGGTAGGACTCTACCCAAGGTGAAACAATTACAGACAACTGCATAGAAGACTTAGATTCTATAAGTACAATGTAACCAAAACTGATGTATGAGTATAGTATCCATTCTGTTAGATTTTTCTATTCTGTTTCTTATTTTGTTTTTCTTTTTCTCTCTCTGTAGTACCTTTCTTTGAAACTAATAAAAACATTTTTTTAAAAAAACCCTAAAATTTTCAGATAACTACAGTGAAATACTGCATATGTTGTGTGTAACAGCTGGTATCTAGTATGCAATGAATGCCTTCCTTAAATACATGGTCTCACCTCAACAGAAGGAGTTACCACATAAGGTGGGTTAAACAGCAGCAAATCAACTTTCCCAAGAAGTCGTGGCAACAATCCTGTTACCTAGACATAAGTTGAAGCAAAATAAAAGAAAGATGCCTTTTATTCCTTAACAAATTCCATTTTGCATTAAATGACACACATAAATCTCATTACATGAAATGTAATGGGAGTCAAAATTTCTCATGTGTAGCCCAAATACAGAAAACTCATCTTCCAGATTTGGGGGGGGGGGGGGTGTACTATTTTTGAAACAGGGGA